TTATTCCACTTAGCATAATATTCTCAAGACCCATCCATGTTGTCCCAAATGGCAATACTTTACCATTTTTATGGCTGAGGAGTAGTCTATTGTATACACACACACACCTACCTTTTTTAAATCTAGTCATCCATGTCTTGGCTATTATAAATAATGCTGCAGTGGACATAGGAGCACCTAGAAGAAGTGCTGCTGGATATATGATATTCTATTATTTTTTATAGAAACCTCCATACTGTTTTCATAATGATTTGTATTAACTTACAATCCCACCAACCATATATAAGGGTTCCCTTTTCTCCACATCCTCTCCAACACTTGTCTTTTTGATAACAGCCATTCTAACAGGTGTGAGATAGAACCTCATTGTGTTTTGATTTGAATTTCCCTAATTAGTGAACATGCCATCCGTATGTCTTCCTTGGAGAAATGTCTACCCAGTTCCTCTGTCCATTTTTTAATCAGATTTTTTTTGTTGTTATTGAATTGTATGAGTTCTTTATACATTTTGGATGTTAGTCCCTATTGGAAGTATCATTTGCAAAGATCTTCTATTCTGTTGCCTTTTTGTTTTGATGGTTTCTTTTGCTGCGCAGAAGCTTTTTAGATTGTAGTCCCCATTCATTTATTTTTGCTTTTGCTTCCCTTGCCTTTGGCATCAAGTTCACAAAAATACCTCTGAGACCGAGGTCCATAAATTTAGCGCCTATGTTTTCTTTTATGTATTTTATTGTTTCAGGTCTTACATTCAAGTCTTTAATCTATTTTAATTTTTGTGTATGGTATAAGATAGTAGTGTAGTTTCATTTTTGTATATATGGCTGTCCAGTTCACCCAACACCATTTATTGAAGAGACTTTCTCCACTGTGTAATCTCGGCTCCTTTGTCAAAAAGTAGTTGCCTGTATATATGTGGGTTTATTTCTGGGCTCTCCATTCTATTCCATTGGTCTGTTTTTGATTACTTTAGTTTTGTAGTATAGTTTGAAGTCAGGGAGTGTGATACCTCCAGCTTTGTTCTTTTTTCTCAGGACTGCTTTAGCTATTCAGGGTCTCTTGTGGTTCCATGTGAATTTTAGAATTTTTTCTATATCTGGGAAAAATGCCATTGGGATTTTGATAAGGATTTCACTGAATCTGTAGATTCCTTTAGACAATATGGACATTTTAACAATGTTAATTCTTCCAGTCCATGTGCACGGAATATCTTTCCATTTCTCCGTGTCTTCACTTTCTTTCAACAATCTTTTAGTTTTCACTGTACTGATCCTTCACCTCCTTTGTTAAGCTTATTCTTAGGTATTTTATTCTTTGTTATGACTGTAAAGGGATTGTTTTCATTTCTCTTTCTGATAGTTCATTGTTAGTAATATAGAACAGAAATGTAACAGATTTTTGCATATTGATTTTGTATACCACAACTTTATTCATTTATTCTATTAGTTTTTTGGTGGAGTCTTTAGGGTTTTCTATATAGAGAATCACATTACCTATAAATAGTGACAATTTTACCTCTTCTTTCCCAATTTGGGTGCCTTTGCTTTTTGTTGCCTCATTGCTCTGGCTAGAACTTCCAGTACTATGTTGAATAATGGGGACAAGAGTGGCATCCTTGTCTTGTTCCTGATCTTGAAAAGCAGCTTTCACTTTTTCACCACTGAGTATGATGTTAGCAGAGGGTGTCATATATGGCCTTTATTATGTTGAGGTACTTTCTATACCCATTTTATTGAGGATGCTGTATCTTGTCAATTGGTTTTCCCACATCTATTGAGACTATATGATTTTTATCTCTTATTTTGTGAATGTGGTATGTCACACGTTGATTTTTGGATGCTGTATCATCCTTGCATCCCTGGAATAAATCCCACTTAATCATGGTGTATGATCTTTTAAATATATTATTGTATTTGATTTGCTAATATTTTGATTAGAATTTTTGCATCTTCTGTTCATCAGAGATACTGGACTATAATTTTTTTGTGTGTGATGTCATTGGCTGGTTTGGGTCTCAGGGAAATGCTGGCCTCTTAAAATTAGTTAGGAAGCATTCCCTTCTTTGCAACTTTGTGGACAAGGTTGAAGAGGATAGGTATTAAATCTCTGAATGAATGTTTGGTAAAATTCACCTGTGAAACCATCTGGTCCTAGACTTTTATTTTGGGAGGTTTTTGATTACTGTTTCAATTTCCTTCCTAGTGATTGGTCTATTTAGGTTTTCCAGTGCTTCGAGATTCAGTCTTAGGAAGGTTGTATGCTTTAAGAATTTAATTTCTTCTAGGTTGTCCAGCTTAGGTGTAGAGCCTTTCATTTTATTTTTGTATAATCCTTTGCATTTTCATGTTGTCCACTGTAACTTCTTTCATTTCTGACTTAATGTGAGGCTCCTTTTTTCCTTAGTCTAGCTAGAGGTTTGTCAATTTTGTTTGTATTTTCAAAGAACCTGCTCTTCATTATATTTTGTTGTTGTTGTTGTTCTCTATTTCATTTATCTCCTCTCTGATTTTTATTTTTCCCTTCTACTGGCTTTGGGCTTCATTTGTTCTCCTTTTTCTAGTTCTTTTAAGCGTAATGTTAAGATTGAAATTTTTATTTTCTTGAGGTAGGCCTGTAATGCTATAAACTTTCCTCTTAGTACTACTTTTGCTGCACCCCCAAAATTTTGGTATGTTGTAGTTTCATTTGTCGCTATATATCTTATGTTTTCTTTGACTCAATACTTGCTTAGTAGCATGTTGTTTAATCTTCACATATTTGTGATTTTTCCATCTTTCTTATTGACTTCATTTCATACTGCTGTGGTTTGAAAATATGCTTAGTATAATGATTTCAGTTTTCTTAAACTTACTGAGACTAGTTTTGTGTCCAAACATATGGTCTATCCTTAAGACTGGTCCAGTGGCTGCCAGCTGCATTGTGCTATGTGGGGCATCTCTGCTGCCTCTACTGGGTTCCATCTCAATGGATCAGTGAAAGGAGGTGGGTTTGTGAGTCTGTGGCCGCTTTGCCTCATTGCTAGTGATGGTGGCACTAGTCCGCATCCGCCACAGTGCTGTACTGTGGCTCCAACCTTGTCACTGGGTTTAGCTGCAATGAACACCAGCTACTCATGCAGGAATGTTGCTTCTGCCACTCCTACCCTCTAGGCTGCCGTGTGAGGGCTGCAGCCAGAGTTATCCACTGCTACATCAGTTGAGTCCACAGTGGGTGTCAGACTGTCTGTGACCCCTGTCTCTCTCCTGCATTCCCCTTCTCGTTCTGATGTGTCCACCTTCAGATGTTTCGGTAGATGGATCTCTCGGACATATTTGTGCGTTGAGCAGAAGATCCTTTGTTGACTTATAGTTGTTTTACTTGTAACTTTAAGGGGTCGTCCCACTCCACTGTGCTGCTGACATCACTCTCAAGATCCTGCATTTCTAACAAGCTCCCAGGTGATGAAGTGATGCTGGTGCTGCAGGTCGAAAGATCACTCCATGAGTAGCAAGGCTGTGGAGAAATTTAGGCACTAAAGGGTCTCGAGCAGGGTGTTATCAGAGACTTCTGTAATTCTTCAGCTCTTAGCAGGTTTTTCTCAAAGGCCCTCAAGGGGACAGCAGAACTCCCAACTGAAGCCAGTACCAATGCCCCTGAACCAGAAGAAAATATATACATTTCCCCCTGTGGGTGGGTGCTGGACGGTCCTTCCTGCTATGGAGATAACAATTAAAATGTTGACACAGAAGATATACTCTACTATTGCTCCTTAATCAACCTTGGATTGAGAGATGTGTCTCTTCCACTTACTTCAAACCACTTGGCACTTTCTTGCTCAAATTGAGAGCCACTCGCTTGCTTGTGCTCTAGAAATGTCTTCCTGATGTTTTTAAGTTTAGGGAAATAAGCTGCTGGCAACGGTAGGAAAGCTCTTTCCTCAAAATCCAAGTGTCTTCTGAAGTTACACAGTAATGCTAAGAAGCCACAGCCAAAGCAGGAGATAATGAACAATGTGATGCAGATCCAGAGGTGTTACTGCCTCAGCCACAGGACCCGTAATCACTTGAGCTTCCTGCACTCAGCTGACTCTAGCCAATTTTTTCAACACTTACCTAGGCTGTCTGTCAAATATCTCCTCCTATTTCTCACTTTTCAAAGGGGACCATTCAAAATCATCAGATCCCACCCCCCCACACACCGATTCTTTCATTCTTTCCTACAAAAATCAACAAAACATTCCTTATCAACCATGATGTAACTCTGGGGGCTGGAATCTCCATATGCACACTAGATGGGAGCATGTTTTTAACTTACCTAGAGAGGTGAAAGGCACTAACGGAAGTGCATGCCCTCTACGGGGACTCTTCCACTTCTTTGTCTATTTTCCTCTCGCTGCTGGCTGGCCGCCGACTGCAGTAAGAAGTAGGATAATCACGGTAACAGTTCCTCGGCATTTCTCCAAGTTGGCCTGGCTCTTCCACAGTAGGCACTCTTGGTATCCCTGTCCTGAAGGACTATCCATCTGGGAGAGACCAGTTACCACGAAAAGCAGGGGGGCGGGGGAGGGATCCTCCAAAAATACTTGGTTCTCTCAGCTTGACAGAATCACTCTAACCTCTAACATTTCTCTTTCTTATCTTGAAGACAGTCTGGGGAGGTTCCATACTAGCCACTTAGAGGTCCCTCTCTCCATCCCCAGGGGGCTGTTACAAGATACCAAGTCCCTGTAGGGCACATATCATGTGATGGCTACCAAAAAAATCCATCTTTAAAGAAAGTATGTAACTGTAAGCAACCAGTGTCCCAGCTTGCTAAAGATGGACCATTAATGTTAATATCACGTAATACCTAATCTATAATGTAAAAAAAATATCAGCAGGCATCTCTCACCTGCCAAAAAACTCTTAAAAATTTATGTAAATTCATATAATTTACATAAAATACTCCATGGTTAGACCTCATTCTTGCTACCCTCAATATATAAGTAGAAATGAATGATTAAGAGTTTCAAAAAGACATACATATTAGAAAAATATTGTTAAAAGATTTATTGCAATAATACAATAAAAGTTTAGAAAACATTTGTATGACTCAAACCGGTTTGGAAGTTGCAGAGCAATGGGAAGTTCCTGCAACATGACGCCATGAGATTCTCCGGTACTATAGTTCTTTTTAACAGCATGCCACCAAATGCTCTTTCCCAAATCATCAATACACAAATCCTTAAGTGAATCCTGTCTGCTATACCCAATGCTGACATATTGTTTTTCACCTTAACTTACAGATGTGCAAAACTTTTCTTAGTCATATTCCATCACAAAAATGTGTTTAGCAGGCCATTTTAAGCAGCCTATTTGGTGCCTCCGGGTTTTATTAATATTACCTTGTTTCAACAAATCATTTTAATATGGAAAACAGAACCAAGTTCTATGGCTTTTTGTTTAAAAAAAAACAAAACAAACACCAGCTTCAATTAAAAAAAAATTGTTTACATATGGTTCTGGCACCTAAATTAAAGATTTTAATGAGCAGCAAAGAAAGTAGAAAAAACAGTGGTTGAAATGTATATTTAAGACTATTTACAGGTGGATCCAGTGCAAAATAATGAAAACCAAAATACCTCAGCAGTGTAAGCCAGTATGTTGGTGTTCATAGCCACCAAAGGGTTTGATCATTTAACCCTAAGTAAAGTGCCTCTAGGTGATATTAACAACAACAAAATATACCCTATCAATCCCTAAATTTCCCATATCCTTGTAAGGTTTGTTGAATTACTCTAGGTATGAGTTTGTGATCTCTGGATTCTATTCGTTAGCTTTATCTCACATTCATGGTTTCATAAGAGGCTTACTTGAGAAAAACCATGACTCATGTGCATCTTTCAGCTGAAGTCAGCCTCTACCCTCAAGCCTCAAATCCCAGTCTTCCAACTCTTGAGACTAGGCACTTCTTTTTGAGGGTTTGAAGTACCTGGACAACTCTTATCTCATGGGATTTTAAGTTCATTTGGTATTTGTTCAAGCCTATCACACCCATTCTCTATGAGTTACAGGCCTGGACGGTACAACACAAGTACAGCAATCATGAAACCGAGCAGTTAAAACAGAAAAGCCTGTTTCCTCTCCAACTAGAAAATTCATAGAAGGGGAACTTGGGACTCCTGGAAAGGAATAAACACCCTTCTGCAATTCTACTCGACACTCTACTGAACATTAAATATACCAATAGCAAAAGCTATATAGCACCTCGGATTTGGAGGCAAAGTATCTATAATAATTATAATGAGAAAAGAAGCTAGGGTGGGGCAAACCTCTAAATGACTTATCTGAGGTACTATCATGCTAATCACACTAACAAGATATGGTAATAATGCCTGTTAGGAATTTTTCATAGGATTTCTTTTTGTAGTTGTTACATAGAATTTTTTTTTGCAGTTATTAAAAATAAAAAACTACTTACATGTTTGTACATAATGCCTCTCTATGGTTTTCTTATAAGATTGTCACTAAGAATGACAAGACACGGTTGAAAATGACCTCTTGGTGAGGGACAGTTCTGCCCGGGGAGCTCTCTCCCCAGGAGAGTGCAGTGTCAGCTACAGTGACCTGCTCTGCGTTTCTGGAGGAAGGTAGTGTCCTCAGAGCAGCAACGACCTCTAGGAAACAAACGAGTGGGATAGTTTTTCCTGGAAAAAACCTGCCACCTACTAAATCCCTTAAAAAGAAATTGGACACCAGAAGAATGAGCAGAGGCCACTTAATTAAGTGGCTTTTAACCTGTGCCCAGGCAGGCATTTAGCTTACATAAGCGAATGACTTTAATGACTTAACCTAAGTTCAGTTTCAAAATGCACATAGTGTGGATGGTAGGAATTCAGTCATCTAGGTAAGAATGAACTTAATTCCTCTCAGAATATAGGAAAATAGGTTAAAAAATCTCCAGGACATTATTGCAGCTAGAATTTCTTCTGTTCGTGGATGTGGGTCCTAAAGACAAAAAGACCTTAAGTTTCTTTGGTGTGCGGGGAGAAAGGAAAACAGGAATGTCTGACGAGCTACGACAGAGCAGCACAAATGAAGTAATTTTTAAGCTACCCGTCCCCTCCCCACCAAAAATACCACCCCTTCCACACAAAACCAAAATCCTTGACCTAAAAACCAAACATGACCAAATTATAAAGAAATCAAGTATATCAAACATTTGCTGGTTCTCTGTACAAAAATGATGGCATAAAAACAAACATATCAAACTCATATTTCAAGTCCTAATTGTTAAGAACCACTTCTTTGTGATTCAATCTCTAAAATGCAAAATGTTCACGAGTCTCACCATCGCAAGGACCTACATGTCAGCCCGTCTGTGGGTCCTGTGGCCTGTGCTCAGAGGGAGCCCAAATGAATTTCTGCCTCAACAGAACTGCCCATGTTTACTGGTCCATCTTCCACCCACAGTAGTCTGGGTAGATGACCTTTGACCTCTCTGTTCTATTAATTATCATAGGCATGTCGGTCACCACCACTGGCCATTTGACAAATAGAAATGCTTGTCTCTCTGCTTTAAAAAAACCAGTTTAACCTCCTTTTGTTCCAGGCACAATCTTACCTAAATATACAGTTCACTAGTTTACTTTCCTGATGCAGATCTGGCATGTTTTGGTCCATGCTCATTAGCGGTGTCCAGTGTAAGCTTTAAACCAGGAGGTCACCGAGGCTGCGGCGGAGGAGATCATCCCGCCAGCACTGCTGCTCGCGATGGGCGGGGACACCTGGGAACTCTGGCTCTGTGAGACTTCCACAGGCTGGGAAGGGATGTCACAAAACCGGGGGCTCGGCAAGTTCTCCCAGTCTGTGCCCAGGTCAGTTTCGTCGTCACTTATGTGCTCGTCTCCACTCTCGTCGGATTCTCCAGCAACTCCAGGACCCACAAATTCCATGGACTCCTCGAGGTCTGCTCGCACTTCAAAGGGTCCTGACCTGTGTGCAGACAGTGAGGGGCGTCTTTAAGACAACCACCATTCTCTCACAACATGTGACAGCAGGTGACAGAAGACCTGATGGGTGTAGGAGACCCAAAGCTGTCACTGTACCCGTGTCCTAAGACTGCACTGGACTCACTCACTGTTTGTCTACAATCGAGTGTTCCTTTATCTATATAATAACTGCCATCCAAGTAATGAATAAAATCACGACACCACACTTCTCTTCAATTCTTCCTACTTTATTTGTGGATGGAAAGACCCACCCACTCAGACTATCCATGCTGGTCCAAAGTATGATTTCCTGTTTTAAATGACTGCAGTAACTATGTTTTCCAATGAGATGATTCTGACAAAAACAGTCACCTGATGTATAGACTGGTATATCAGAACATTACATGGTATACGAAGAAAACTGTACAGGTGTTCTCTGCCTATAGAGGCCTCCAGTTAGTAAACTCAAGACCCAAAAGAGCTAAATAATATGGCCATATGCATGTTAGGAAAGCTTCCTGGGACTGGTGTCAGCAGCCTCCCACACACGTTTTGATATCACACAGTTTTCCAGGAACATGTTCATAGCATAGAATGAGATATAATTATTTAGAATATATTCCTCTGGAATAGCACACATTTCTGAACTGTATTTCATGAGAAAACTATTTTTATTTCCCGGAGGTCTCTAATAATGTCCTCGCCTCTAAATCTAATAACCTTTCTTTCTCGGGCCTCACACCCTCGGTAGCTCCTCAGTGCCACTATGAAACAAAGTTCACACAGGCCTGCTGCTTCTCCCTTGCCCCCTTTCAAATGCCCATCAGCTCCTGCCTCAGGGGTGCCAGGCTGCATTTCCTTCGGGTTTCTCGGGTCACCCCACCCACTGCCCCTCCAGCTGCCCCTCCAGGTTTTCCTACAACCAGCTATCGGTGGAACCATGCTGCTCCAACAGCCCCTAACTCTCTGCTGTTGCCCTCAAGACAATAAGGTTCAATGCCTTAGTTCATTTAAGAGTTTCACTGGTAATTACTTTGAGGAAAATGACAGAGGTTAGCAAAAATAACAGAAATGAGAAATACCCTAGAATTGTACAGCCTGCCATTTGCGGCTATGGTCCAAAATTCTTTAGTCTTTATAATGATAAAAGCCTAGAGTTGGTCTCCGATGCACCTCACCAGAACTGCAGCCTCTGGCTCACTTTTTCCAGGGTTAAGGAGCCTTCATTCTTCCAAGACAACCCTGGTTCCCAGCTGGGACTCAGCAACAGTACTAGCTAACATTTCTGTTCTAGGCAGTGTTTTTAAGGCTTTATAAGAATTAATCATATTGGAAGATATACCACAGGGTTGGTCTCCAGTGAGCAATTTACATTTCAAAGAGCCTCTCAAACCAGGGGCTGCTAAGCTTACCAGGCCTCCACCCTGCTCACAAGACTTGATTTTGCAAGGGGTAAAGGGAATAAGAATTGGGAGGAAGTTCTCCCCACAATCTTCCTTCCTCCCTATGAAACTTTCTCAAACCAGTAACCACTGCAACCAGTATCTTAGCTCTGAATCCTTTTTCTGTTTCCTTAAGGTTTTCCTTACAGTTCATTTCTTTTCTCCCTTCCTTTTTCTTTTCATTGGCAAACAGGTCCACTCCAAAGACATTTTTTTCATTTTCCTCTCCTAGCTTCACTTCCAAACACCCTTCTGCCAGCCAGAGCTCTCAGACTGAGTGTTGCTAACCTCTCATCAGACGCATCTTTTCAGATATCTGAGCCAGCCTAAACACATATACCTGCAGGGGATTCCTCCCTCACACTACCTGATATCACCAAATAAGCCACTTTTCCTTCCTCGTTGTGTCTTCCAGCTCAAGTCCTCACCGCACCACCACCTCCTAACCAGCGCTATCCCCTACTGCCTCATCTTGCCAGAGAGCTGTCCCTCTCTCTTTTCATGGTGCTTCCCTGCTAAAAATGTTCACAATTTAAGTCCTTAGCTGGGCTTCCTCATTTCTTAAACACAAGGCTCCCTGATTCTGTTCTGTCCAGGGGACCTCAGCACCTACCACCAGATTAAGTCTCCTGACTCCCCCAGGCTCCCTCGCAGGCCCAGGTCAGCTCTCCACTGCTACTTCGTTCCTTCCTGGTAGCTCTGAGGCTCAGCCTGCTTTCTATTCCTCTTTGATGCTGTTTGATCTATTCTTGGGGTCTTTCTTGGCATAAGACTGCTACTGTCCCCAGATTCCCTCTTTAAGGATATCCCCAGGAGACAGGAGTGATATGAGAAGGGAAAGGACAAGTCCTTCCAGGCAGAGCCCCCTGCTGGAAGTAAGTCACCTGGACTCCAGTTCGCAGCTTAGAATCCCATGGAATGGAGCAGGTGCTCATTTAAGGACTTCAAATGAAAAATAAACTAGTGGATGATTCCCAAAGTAGCCAGTCAGAACAATTTGACTATTAACGAGTAACTTACATTGCTGAGAACCAGCAGGAGCAGAAGCAGGAGCAGAAGAGACCCCTTACAGAGGATGCTGGCACATCTCTCCACTCAATGCCTCGCTCCCATCACTTCCAGCTATTACCTATTACCTATTACCTACCCAGTATGCCCTGTGCCACACACATCACAGAATCAACTAGCAAAAGAATTAAGTCTTTCTGCTTAAAGTCTTTGGGGAATACAGATTATAAAATAATTTTCAGGTTAGCTGGAAATTTATATCTTTTTATTGAGCACCCTGAAGCCAGAGTACTCATTGTCTTAGGATGCTGTAGGGAGTTATTCTTATTGATTAAGGCAACAAAATGATATTTTTGGCTTTTTAAAAGTCTCTTGCAAAATATCTTTTTCCATAGAATGTACAACATCAAGAGTGAATGAACTCTAATGTAACCTCTGGACTTTGGATGATAACAATGTGTTAATGTAGGTGCCATTGTGGAAAAGACTGGATCAGATAAGACCAAGAGATACTAAATCCACCGGGAAATTCTGATTAGGGGACAGACAACTGCATGGTTTCAAAGTGTCTCCCCACTCAATGTGAGGAAAGAAAACTACAGGAATTATACAGTGGAGAAGGCAGAAGGCAGCTTGACTGGGTGACTGAATTAACATCACCAACAAGGGGCAGATGGCCACTGTGGCCTCGAGGTGTGAGACCCAGGAGACACTCCCACACAGGCAGTGTTCCAGCCTAGAATACATAACCTGAATCTCACTGTGAGGAAATAACCAACCTCAAAATGAAAGTTCTATTTAAAAAAAAAGGAAAAATGTTAATGTCATAAAAGACAAAGTGGCTGCAAAAAATGTTCCAGATTTAAAGGTCAGAGATATAGCAATTAAATGCAATATCTGACTCTAGACTGGATCCTGTACTGGAAGGGGGAAATGCTATAAAGGACATTATCTGGTCCACTGACAAAATGTACATATGGACAGTAGATTAAAATATTACGTCAATGTTTAATTTGCTGATGCTGATAACTATAATGTGGTTCACTAAGAAAATATCCCTATTTTTAGGAAATATACATTGAAGTGTTTAGGGGTCAAAAACCATGATGTCTGTAACTTATCCTCGTAGAGCTCAGAAAAAAATATTTTTGCGTCTATTTATGGAGACAGAGAGAGGGAAGGAGGGAGATGGTGCACAAATGATAGGGCAAATGGAGTAAACCACTAACAAAGGTGAATTCTGGGCAAAGGGTATATTTGTCTTTGTACTATTTAGTTTTTGGAATTTTTCTGTAAGTTTGAATTTATTTCAAAGAAAAAAAATTTATGTTGGATTCTGGATGGAATCCTTGGTTTAGTTGGTCTCGATGGAGACAGGAAGTCGCACTCAGGTCCATTACCAATCTCTCTAAGCTTGACTGAGGCAGGTGTGAAAAGAGGACTTCTGAAGCTCTGACCTCCTGGCTCAAAGACTGGGAACTCGGATTTGACGATAGCCTGGCTGTGTATGTGAACTTCTGTAGGACAGAGCCCTCTATCTAAATGGAGGGTTGACTCAAGGGCAAGCCTACAGAAAACCAGATACTCCAAGGAAATCCACCTCTAGTATAAGATTGCCTGTTTTCTTAAACCACCACCACCATTAGATAGTAGCAATTCTTTCCTTTATTGCCAAAATGATGAATGAAAAATAGAAACGTGTTTTAAATTGCATTTCTTTTTTTCGAATTGCATTTCTTTATTCTTGATCGAGGTTAAAGATTTTTTTTCATTTGAATACTGACTGCATTTCTTTTGTCTGAACTACCTTACCTGCCTGAATATGTTGTCTATTTTTCTGTTAGGCTGTTTGCCTTTCTCTTATTAATTTGAAAGATTTAAGTCATCTAGATTTTAATCCTTTGTCTCTTATAGAGGTTAAAAAATGTATCATCTGCTTGCCTTTTAAGTTTGTTTATGGTATCTTTTACCAGAGACACTTAGTTCTTACATAGTAAAATGTAAAACTGCTTTCCTTTATGGTTTTTGAGTTTTGTGGCTTGCTGGGGAATTTCCTTCCCACCCTATGATTATCAAACACTATCCTTCCTCCTAGTTATTTCATAATTTTTTTTTTTTAATTAAGGTCTTTTATATCATCTGGAATTAATTTTCTGTATATGGAATGTGGTGTGAATCCAACTTTTTTCCCCATATGAGTACCTAACTGGCCCACCACTACTGAGCTGCTATTATGATTCAACATGCCACCCCTATAACATATTATATTCCCACATATACAAGAGTTTCTAGACTCTTTATTCTCTTCCCCTAATTGCTCCATCTATTTTCATGCTAACAGCACCCTGTTTTACCTTTAACTATGTTTTAAAAGGGGTTAAGCCCATCCCTTTTTCAAAATTTCCCTGCAGACTGTTTTTAGTTTAACTTTAGAATCAGCTTGTCAAAGTTCCATGAAATAGCTGTTGAAATTCTTTCAGGTTTCCTTTACAGGAGGAGGAGCATTTTTATAATACTGAGCCTTTCCAACCTAGAAAATCATAAGGGGGTCTTCACTGCCTCAAGCCTTCTTTCACTCAGTCCTACACCTCATACAGTGTCTGGCAGACATTCAAGAATTACATGTTGAATCATATTTTTTTTAATTTTATAATTTTATTTATATGGGTTTACATGTTTTGTAAAGATTACTCCTCTAATTTATAGTTTTTGTGCAACAGTAAAAGGGACCTTTTACTCTATTATATTTTTTAAGTTGTTGGCATACAGAATAGTAACTGCTTTTATATATTATATCTAGTCACCATACTGACTATCATTTCTAATAGCTTCTTAGTTTTTTTGGATACCTAGTTCAGTAATTACGCCATTTACAATAATGGCAGCTTAGTTTCATTCTTTCCAGTATAAAAACACCTTGCTTCCTTGTTGAGATGTTCTGCATCTGGCTGGGCCTCCTGAGCCACGTCAACATAGCAGTGACGGCCGGCATCCCAGCTTTCTCCTGATTGTAGAGGACAGCCTCTATTAAACATCTATGTAAGTAACATCGCTAATATATAGTTTTTGCTGTTTGTTTACGGTAGATATCCTTCATTAATTATCGTTTTAATCTGCTAATAGTTTCCTTCAATTATTAATGGGAACTGAATTTTATTCATTGTTTTTTCTAGCATCTATCAGGTTAATTTTATGTTTTTTCTTCTTTAATCTGTGAATGTGAGGAAGTAATGTGCATTGGTTAAAAGCATGAGTATCTATAACTTTGGAATCGGCCGGATCTGTGTTGGGACCCTGGCTCCACCACTTTTACTGGCTCTGTGACCATGTGGAGGAGTTACTTGACCATGCTAAAACTCAGTTATCCCTCCCTTCATAATAATCCTACCTAGATTTAAGATACGTAACATAGTTGGCCCAATGTCAATAAATACTGCGTCAATAAATATTAGTTCTTATTATTGATAAATTTACTAATGTTGAACTGTTTACAAATAAGGTACAGAGAGTATGGCAAGCAAACCCACAGAAATCAACCACTAAAACTGTGGTGAATTTCTAATGGGTTTCTGTGGCTCCTGAACTAATGAATGGGATTTGAGGTGAGGGACATCAATACCCTATGAAGTGGCACAAAATTCTGGGTGTATGTGCAGTTTCCTGGAAGAGTTCACAGCTTTTTCCAAAGGGGTCTATGTCCCAGAAAAGTTAACTACTATTTCAGGTGGGGGGAGGGGAGTGGGGAGAAACTCAAGACTGTGGTTAAGGGAGATTACCACAGAAAGTTCACTGCAAGGTGGAGGAAGCCAGGCACTCTGGTCATTGGAGGGGACTACCCCCGAACAGCTGGTTCCAGTGTCTAAGGAAATGGAATGGGGGAGTCCCACGAGAACTTTCCCACCTTTTATCTGTCTTTGCCCTCTTTCAAAAAAAGTGCAAGTACATTAATCAAGTCATATCTGCAGAAATGACTTGATTCTCCTTTCTCTTAGCGGTCTGTCTTGTGTGGACAGACCGCTAAGAGAAAGGAGAAAATATAAGCACCAGAGAAGGGGTACCGAAGATAAGTCTCATCTGTGTCATGCTTTTGTGGGCTGAGAGACTGAAAAGACCCCGTAGACCAGTCTTGGTTGGTCTTTTTTGTTACTGACTCTTATTTTTAAGCTAATGGATTTTAAACTACTTAATCTCATAAACATCTCATGACTTTATCTCCAACAAGTGGTGGCCAGATTGACTTAATGACAAAAAGAGAACTGTGAAGAACTGTTATGATGGGAAGGCATGAGCAGGCACAAAAGAAAATGCACAAGAAATGAGGCAGACGCCAGGCAGGGCTAGAGAAGAAAGAGATGTGGATTCAAAGAGATGGCGTTTGATCTTCAGGGACAGCACAGAAGTCCCCAACTCCTGGGACAACTCCTGGAACATCTTTTTTAGGTGTTAAAAATTGATACTAATTTTCTCTGAGAAATGATTACTAAGGACCATAATGGCTCAAATATGACGAGCTATTGTTTCCTTCTGTATAGGACTGCATTATTTTTGTATACTTTGGAGAGCTGAGCTGAGGAACAGGCCCCTGTACTCTGCCAACACATACAACAACTCCACTTAAAAGTAGTCACATGATATCACTTATATATATATATATATGTGAGATATAAACCTAAAAGCAACAAATGGACAGGACAAACAGAGACTCATGGACATGGACTATAGACTAGTGATTACCAGAGGGTAGGGGGTGGGGGGAGGGGAGAGGTAGATGGGGTAAAGGGGGTCAAATATGTGGTAACAGAAAGAAATCTAACTATGGGAGGTGAACACAGTGTTATTGTTAAAGCGTACAGTTGAAACTTACTGGATTTCGTTAACCAATATCACCATTAAAAAAATTTTTTGAAAAAAAAAAAAAAAATAGTAGTTACATCACCACCAGAGAGAAAAGCAACAAACACCCTTCTTACCTGCCTAGGTGTTCAGAGTTGGGGCTGACCAGGTACATTAGATTCCTGAGGGTATGCAGTGGTTGTAATTGATCTAAATTTACATGCTACAAAAAGCAAAAAAATTAGTTACCATTTCAACCATGTAAGAAATTAAAAATTAGTTCACAGCACATTTTTCATACCTGAGAAAAGCAAAGATAAAGAATATTTGCATTCAGTTTCTTCACTGCTCGAGTAAATTTCTGTCTGCTAAGATTTTCTCCACAAAATTCACTGTAAAACAAACATATAATTTGTAAAGTTGTATTGTTTTTGAGGAAATTCTATGTTAAAACGTTCATTTTGAAGAGTATGCTTTACGCTACAGTTCAGTATAAAACATACCCTGTGGTCTTTGCTTCTTAATAAATTGTACTTAGAAACTTTCTAAGAATGAACTGTTACCCTCATGGAGCAATTTCACTGCATCTATAAAAATTACGAATGCATATACCCTTTGACCAAGCAATTCCACTTCTGGAAATTTATTCTACACAAACACTTGCAACTAATGAAGTGTTTTTACACTTTGTACAATGAATGTATATGATTATTCCTTGAAGTATAAATAGAAGACTGGTAAGATTCTGGAACATGTGTACAAAGGAAAACTGCAACTATCCACGTTAAGTCAGAATGACAGCTAAAGGCTCACAATAGCCCTACAAAGCCCCACACGATTTGCACCTCTACCTTCCTTGCTGCCCTTGGTCAATACTGCTCTCCTCGCAGCTTACCCTTGCCAGGGCTTTGCCTTTCTCTCTGCCCCGCAGCCTCTTTCCCCAGAATCCACATGACACTCCCTTCCTCCCTCAGGTTCACACATGATCACACACCTGTCCACTCAAACGCAGCAAGCCCTTCGCTGCCTCCACTTGCCCTTTATCCCACTCTACTTTAATGTTCTCCATAGCACCTGTCACTATTTAACATACTGCTTATTATTTGTTCCTTCATTAAGTACCAAGAGGATAGAGATTGTGTTTTCATCACCACTGTACCCCCTCAGCACCTAGAACAGTGCCTGGAAGATAGAAGGCACTTGATAAATATTTGTTAAATAAATAAGAACTTAAAAAGCAAGGTGAAAGATACCTTAGTATAGCATGATACCTTTTGTGTTTAAGAGTGGGGGAGATGGTAACCATACATATTTGCATTTCCTTAAAATGAAAGATAACTGGAGGAGGGTAAGGCCTAGTAAGAATTGGGTAGACTGCAAACCTTTACATTTAAAAAAATTTTAAACCATGTGTTAAAAAAAAAAAAAAAATTCAAGTATTGCAAATAACTCAGTTCTTGCACATGAGCATACCTTCTGAATACCATGTTTTTTCCTTCGATTATTTTTTCAAGTGGGAGAATTCTCTGTGGTCTCCCCAAACACTTCATGTACAATTGCAAGATAACACAAATTTGCACCATCTGAGGCTTTTGAAATTTAGCTCAATGAGGCTTATGAAATTAACCTCAATATCTTATGGTCAGACCTTTTCTGTCTTAATATCACTTAAATTCTTGCTTTCGATTTAATCAGAACAAATAAAACTACAATAGGAACATCAGAGACCCACGGCAAAAAAGACATCACCATGTTCAATTACTTGCCTGTTGCACAGCTTTTTGGGAAGATTTACGTCGAGTATATGAGACAAAATGTTGACCAGCTGAGTCGCATAGCACAACGCAGCACTGATTGTGTAAGCGGGGTTATTATGCTCCATGTCTGAAGTATAAAAACAACCATACACAAAACAACTTTAATTTCAACAGAAATATGAACAAAACTAAATTTTATGATTTCTAATTTTACCATTACATTATTGATGGTTACATTTCACTCCTCACTAACAGAAAGTCCACAGCCAGACATTAACATTTCATTGTCTATGGTTTTTGCTGAGTAAAATGTAACCTAAGCAAATGGGCCTAAACAGGTCCTGCATAAATGAAATTAAAGTCTGAACTGCTTGGACCTGGTAATATATTATTTATCAGGACAATTAATGCCCAACTTAAATGTTACCTCCTCAGAAAGGCCTACCTTATGGAAAAGCAAAGTGGTCCCTTCCTAGTAGCCCCACCCCAGGACGCTGCTGGTTCTGCCCACAGCACACACTCAGTGTATGGTACTTTGGATCACTACTTACTTCCTATCCGCCCCACAGAAAGGCAAAGACACCTGTCTTGGTGACATCACCTCTGTATCACCAGCACTGTGCATAACAGAAAGCACTAAATATTTGCTAAATGACTAAATGAACAATCCTTCATCACCAAAGAGAAGCTACAGGAGTTTCAAAAGGTTTCTATTGCAGTAGTCAATCTTCATTTAGGATTGCTAGAACAGCCTCTTTAAGATGTTAAAAACTATAAAAATGGGACTCAGGGTACATACACTTCTTTAAATAGTGAGGTCTTTTTATATAAATAAAGCAATACTGACCACCAAGAGGTGAGTGAAATACCTAAATTACATGTTTTCAGCCCGTCAACAGATAGAGAAACAATATGTGGTATATCCACATGATAGAATGTTTTCAGTCATAAAAAGAACAAAATGCTGATACATCCAACGATGTGGATAAACTTTGAAAACATGCTAAGTGAAAAAGCCAGACACAAAAGGCCACATATTGTATGAACCCATTTATATGAAATATCCAGAAAAGACACAGCTATAGAGAGAGAAAGCAGATTAGTAGTTGCCAAGGGCTGGGAGGAGGGGAGGAGGGGGAATGACTGCTTCATGCCCTGGCGTTTCCACCTGGGGTGACGAAGTGTTTTAGAACTAGACAGAGGTGACAGTTGTACAACCCTGTGAATGTACTAAATGCCACTGAACTGTTCATTTTTAAATTGTTCATTTTGCTACGTAAATTTTACCTGAATTAAAAAATATGTATGTTACATGGACAATGGACTAGTGGTTACCAGAGGGGAGAGGGAAAAAATAAAATGTTAAAAAGAAAAAAAATTAATAAAGAATCTATGAGAGAAAAAAAAAAAAATATGTTTATAAAAATTGTCAGACTATTTTGCTTCTCACCAGGCCCCTGTGTGGTTTTCTTCTCTTCCACCCAATTGTAGTAGGCAGAGTAGTCCCCGTTGTTGGGAAGGCTAATCCAAGGCCCTGTAATGCTAATGCTTGTGTCCCCATTGTGATCATCACAGACCCATCGCCCCGAGAGGTAAGTCGTCCTCCGGGCTTCAGCAAGCTTGCTCACGGTGCTGGAGGTCATGGCACTGTCACTCTCTGAAGACACATCTGCAGGATCTCTAAAAATCAGAAGATGCATATGGATTTCAAAGGACTAGGCTAGGTTTTACAGAGTATGCAATATAATTGCCAGATATGCAGAACATTGGAAAGATGCGCACGAGGACAGAAATTTATTTGGAATGTACAGAGATAAGTGATCGCTATCAGAGATACAGATGAAGAACAAATGAGCTGTGGTACAGAAGCCAATGTCATTGTGAGGATGGTGGCACCATGAGCGAAGGCCTTGAATATCAGATTCCCAAATGATTTGGTCTCAAGAATCCTTCCTAAAAGGATCCCAGAGGGCTTTTGTGAATGTGGGTTAGATATAGCCATATTTACTACATTAGAAACCTGAGAAAATTTTAAATTACTAATTCATTTGAAAATAATAAACCTATTACATGTTAACATAGAAGATCTTTAGGAAGTGCCAGGGATGGTGTTGGAAAAGTAGGTAAGAAATGGGTAGACTGGAAAGGGCCTTCGTGCTGCACTAAGTTTAGATTCTGTTCTCTTGGCAGGGGTTCTTAATCCTTTTCCTTCTGCCACAACACACGTGCAAGATAACTCCCACTGGCTGCCAGAGATAAGACTGGGGGCAAGGATGTTATGGCTAATTCTAAATTATACTGCTACTTCTTCCTTCTCCCACTCAAGATAAGTTTGAGATAAGTGAATGAACAAGAAATCTTATTAGAGGGATAACTTTAAAACTATCAGCTTAAAAAATTAACAGCACATAATAACATATGCTAGTAGAAAAAATTTAAATAGCATAAGAAGAAAGGAGAAAATTTTTCTTCCCTCTTCTGCGACTTCGTATGCAGTTGTGTCTCCTCAGTGCCTTAAAACCTGGAACGGTGTCTTAGTCTCTGTTTACTGCAACATGTTTAACATTGATATCTTGGCCCATGAGAATTTAATTTGGCCTCATATTTCTGTTTTGTCACCTTTTTCCTCCCCTTGGGCCTGGCTAGTAGTCTTTACACCAATTTTCAGGTCATCCAACTTCTTCCCATTGATCCAAAAAGCTACCTTACAGGTTTATTTCTGAACATTCTAGTCTGCTCTATATTGAATATATCTTTTACTTTTATTACTATTATTAATGACAAATTACTTGGTAAGAATCAGAGAGAAGGTTTTCAAGCTAGAAATAACCGACGTTTAAGCTTTTAGGAAGCCAACTCTGGCAACAGAAGAAAGGACAGACTGAAGGAGAGGTAGCAAAGAATAGACACACAACTAGCAACTATCCAGTTCAGGGGAAGGTGCTGGAAAGTGAGGGTGACTGGAAGAGGCAGGAAAACCCTCAACTCGAACAGCCTGGTGGTCAGTGAGGAAGCGAATAAAATTCTTCATTGGCAATTTTTACCCCTGGCTGCTCATCAGCATCATCCAAGCACGTTTAAAAACATAAAAGTATTATGAGATGGCTGGGAGGTTGGAGGTGTGCCCTCTGAACCCATATTTTTCAAAAGCTCCTGGATGACTCTGATGAACAGCCAGGCGGGGAACCACTGTCTTGCCACCCTACTGCCTCCCGAGAGTATCTGTGAACTATTGCCTAAGACTAGACTCATGGTATCGAGTGCTCAACAGTGGCCAGTTACCAGGAAAAGGCTGTCACCATGTCGTGACCACCCCGTAAGAGGCCCCAAGCACCAGGCGTTTTCTTCCATTTTAACTCATGATTTCTCTGTGAAGTAGGCATTTCTTTTCCTCGTCTAACAGACAAGAACTTAAGACTTCAAGATTCAAGAAACCTGCCTTACAGCATGCAACTAATAAACAGCCTGACTGGGACTGCCACTGACATCAGCCATCAGATGGTTCTTGATCAGGAATGAGTCAGCCCCTCGTCAGGAAGCTCTACAAGAGTACATAGGCCTGGGCCCTCCTCCGCCAAGGGCCACCGCCCTTTACCTTGGCTGCCTCCCCAGCTTCATGTAGTGTGTAATGTTTGCTGAAGCAGATAAGACTTCAGTTTCATTACCAGGAAAATCAATGGCCCCAGCATGTGGCCCAATAAACGAGGTATTTGAAAAATACTTGATCTTTGGAACCTGATCTATTCCTAGAGTCAAAAGACTTGCTTACTGTACCTCACACTAGTCTTTACTTCCTCGATTGGAAAAATGACAGAGGTGAGCTCTAATATGCGGGATCTCCGAAGATTTGCCAGACGCTCATAATGACTTCTCAAGTCAATGGTTTTTTTTTCTACTAGGTCACCAAGTTTGCGATTATGCCTCTGAATCTTCTCCTTTTTCTCTTGATGCCGTTGTGCTCGAGTGTAAAGCTTCTGATTCTTTTCCTTGGTTTTGAGAAGGCCTTCAGAATCTAAAATAAACCACACCCAACAATTATCTCCACAAACAGTTCCAGGGTACTGCAAAACCCCACCCCACTAGCATAAGTGTCTTCCTGCAAACTAAAGTGAAAGCAAAACCTCAATAAAATTAAGTGGATAATGTTCTCTAAGTAGAAATTGAGAGCTTAGTTCAAGTAGATAATAGACATAAAGCAAAGGAGACCACCACTACAAGAACTCTGGATCTCTATTTATAATTTTCCTTACCATGAATCAGTTACTCGATGACTATCGAGTTTAAGTTTAGCACAAAAGTACCTGCCTTCCTTACTGTAAGTGATGAAGAATAGCCATATTGGGCAGAAAAGATTTAATTCAAGTTTGAAAAACTTATTTGTTGATTTTCCTTAAAAACCGCTTGCGTGTGCCTTGGGTTACATTCAGAGAACCCAGAGTAGCAAGTGGTCATGCAGCAAAGAAATAGATCAAGAGCTCTGAAAAATTACAGTGGAGTACAGCAGCACCCAGCAGAGTGGGAGTGCCTATCTGGTGAGCACCTACTATACCCAAGGCATTTTAAGCACAAAAAGGATAACAAAAGCCTGGCCACACGACCAAGAAGGGAGACAGACACCCATCCTGTCTGATTTATGTCATTTTTATGGAGCCCCTTCAGGTTCTGGATCCCAAGACCTGCTAGGGATGTTGGGTTATAATGAAACTGCTCTAGAGTAGTAAAAACAAGTTGTAAAATCTCAAGATAGACATCTAGGAACAAGCTAGGAAGCTCAAGTTCAAAATCAAGCTTCCTTTTCCATTGCAAGCTAAGTTCTCTGCTTCATGATTATTATTTTTTAAATTGTTTATTGGGGTAACATTGGTTAGTACAATTATATAATTTTCAGGTGTACATTATCATTTGACATCTGTATATTCTATTGTGTGTTTACCACCCAAAGTCCAGTTTCCTTCAGCTAATCCCCTTTACCCATTTCACCCTACCCCTACACTTTCATGATTATTTTTGACCTTTCCACTGCCTAACTCAATCCCTCGATGGTCAGTTCCATGAGCCATCCTACAGTTCCATATATCTAGGGCTTTAAAAAATCTCTCCTATCACAATCCTATTAACTCTCATCAAAACTCTGCCTGTCGCCAGCTTGACTCCACTCCACACTTCATACCCTCTTTCACTGGCTCAGTCTTCAGAAACTACAGCCAATGGTCAGTGCTTCTCCACTGCTGATCAAATACTAGCTAAACTTCTCAGCCTCCAGACCACCACCAACCTGGGAGACATCCCGCAGTTCCGTTCTCACCATTCATTCTAATCTTGCTCAATCACTAGATACTTCAAATCCTTTTTACAAGGTAGAACTACTTCAGTAAATGCATGGATGGATGCTGAACGAGTCATCATTCTTTAAACTCTCATCCCCATCCTGTTGTTCAAATCAACATCTTTCTAGGAATACTCTCTATTTGCTATTATCCATATTTTACTCATTCAGCAAGGCCCCCCGCCATAAATGCTCCCCAAACCTCTTGTTCCTCAGAAAAGGAGGACATTTTCAAAGGAAGCTTTTACACCATTACATATCACTATAAAATACTTGCTTCTGTAAGCAATGAGTAGAGAAGGGATTACTCCGTGGTAATGTGTGTGCACCTCACCTATGGCACAGCTCTTAGCTGCTTATACCAGATACAACCGAAGCTTTGTCATCAATTGACTAGAATTAAACGAGCCTTCAATAATTGTGGACCAAAAACCACCCTCTTTGACGGAGGACTACTAAACCTAGGTATTTTGTTGCAGGCATAAAGTTTCTTACAGTTGTATTTCTCCTTA